CTTCATCCCTGAAAGAGTGACCTCTGGCCTGGAGATGAGTGTAGACCGCAGAGTCCTGGCCTGATGATGTTGATCTTCTGTGCTGGTCCATCCTTTTGGCCAGTGGCTGTTTAGTTTCCCCGATGTAAGACTGATCACCCTCCTGACACTGAACAACATACACAACATTACTCTGTTTGTGCCGGGGGACTGGATCTTTGGGATGAACCAGTCTTTAATGTATTTTGGGGTTTAAAAGCCACTGGGACGTTATGTTTAGAAAATAAACGTCTCAGTTTCTCTGATACCCCCTCAACATATGGAATGACCACTGGTCTGGGTCTGGGTTCCTCCTTTTCACCTGATGCTGACTGGAGTCCTGTTTAGGTTTCTTCTTTCAGGAAAGCCCAGTTAGGATATCCACATTGCTCTAGAGCCTGTCTTGTGTGGGATTTCTCCTTCTGCCTGGCTCCTGAGCTAGTGGGGATGCTGTCTGCTCTGTGGTACAGAGTCCTGATGACTCCTAACTTGTGCTCCAAAGGGTGATGGGAGTCAAACTGCAAATACTGGTCTGTGTGGGTGGGTTTGCGGTACACCTCGGTTTGCAAATGTCCTCTATCAGAGACTGAGATCTCGCAGTCCAAGAAAGCCAACCTGCCATTTTTTACATCTTCTCGTGTGAACTTGATGTATTTATCCACAGAGTTGATGTGGTCAGTAAAATGTTGGACTTCCTGAGATTTGATTTTAACCCAGGTGTCGTCAACATACCTGAACCAATGACTTGGTGGTGTCCCTGAAAAGGACGTTAAGGCTCTCTTTTCTACCTCCTCCATGTACAGGTTGGCAACATTAGGAGAAACTGGAGACCCCATAGCACACCCATGTTTCTGCCTATAATATTGCTCCCCATATGTGAAGTAGGTTGACTGCAGGCACAGTTTCAAGAGTTGACACAGTTGGTCTGTGGAAAGCGTGGTCCTGCTGCTCAGAGTGGTGTCTGATTTTAATCTTAAACTGACCACCTCTACTGCATCATCAACAGGAATGCACGTAAAGAGTGATGTGACATCAAAAGAGACCATTGTTTCATCAGTCTAACCCTAACCGAGTTAATCATGCTAACAATTAACTTGGTCACTTACAATGTTTCCAAATATCTGGCATCTGTACTCATCCCTTTAGTTGGCAGCTCAGAACACCACATACAGAACACCATGGACTTTGTGGATAAGATGAGGGATGTCATCATGGAAACTGATGAAACAATGGTCTCTTTTGATGTCACATCACTCTGCACTGCCTTAGAGATTGGGTGAGGAGCTCTGTCATCTATGGGGAGCTCAGAGTAGAGTTGCTGCTCCTCTCTGGGCTCATCCCACTGGGAGGAAACTCAGGGCAGACACAGAACTTGTTATTACTGAAGGTTCTATATCCTCTCTGGTCTGAGAACAAATTGGAGCTCCTCAGGAGGAGCTGGACAGTGTCTCTGGGGAGAGAGAGGTATAAGTTTGTCTCCTGGACCTGTTGTCTCTGTGACCCAACTACTGATCAGTGGTAGAAGATGGAGATGGAGCCCAGCAAACATTCATCAGTGTTTTTATGAACTCCACTCAGAAACATGAAGGGCAGCTGAACGTGATGCAGCTCATTGACATGCTGACCGGTGTGGCTTCAGGAATGAAATACCTCACTGAGATGGGCTTCGTTCACAAACGTCTGGCTGCTCACAAGGTGAGAGAACACCTGGGTGGGGGGGGGGGGGGGGTTTGACTCATTCAACATTTATTTCTACAGGTTGGTCTCATTGAGCCTCTGGGATTCTTTTACAAGAGAGACCTGACTTTAACAAAGAGTGATGACAACAAATGACAATCATAAAATAAAGCATGTAACTTGAGAAGAATAAATAAAAGAAAATGGTATTAAAAAGAACGAAACTAAAACAGCTAGATTATAAAGTGATGTAGAAAACTAAAAACAGGAACATGTCTGCATTGTTTTTTCCAAGAACTTGTCAAATGTTTGAAGACACTTAGAGAGGTCAAAGGTCGAGAGCTTCAGATCTTTTTACAAGATATTCCAGGAAACAGGAGCGGAGTAGGAGAAGGTCCTTTTGTCTAGTTCAGTCCTCACTGAGGGAACACTGCAGGTAATGATGTCCTGAGAGCGCACGCTGTAGCTGCACTCACCCAGTTCTTGAGTTCTTCATCCTCACATTTCAGACACTAACTTGCCTATAGATTTAGATGGAAGCTGAAAAGGAGGAGTTCTGTCACCTCCAGGCTTCACTGACAGATTTACTTCCTGAAGATTTCATCTGTTTCTTCTCCTCGTCTCAGGTTCTGGTGAACTCCAACCTGAGCTGCAAGGTGTCTGGTTTTAGACCTCTTCAAGAGGAAAAGATGCAGTCCATCTACACCACATTGGTAAGACAAAACTCTGCTGTTAAGCCAGAAATTTGGACCCAACATGACCCAGTTCTGTTTCTGTCTGTAGCTCCAAGTTGCAGTAGAAGTCATCGCAGGGCACTAAAAACATTCACATTCATTACAAAATACGATCAGTAAAAGTTCTCTCTCTAAAGAAGCAGCAGATTGTGCTGAATCCACTCCTTCACAGTCTCCCATACTGAGCAAGAACAAAGGAGAGAGTGGGAAGGAAAAACTCCCTTTAAAAAGGAAGAAACCTCCAGCAGAACCAGACTCAGGATGAGAGGCCATCTGCTTCAACCGGCTGGTTTGAGAGGACAGGAAGTAGAAACTGACAGGTGTACTTTCTATAGGATTAAAGACAAAAAAAACATGTTGAGATGAAAATAATTACAAATACTAACAGAGTAAAGACAGCAGCAGAGAGAGGACATGTGGTCAGTTTGTCCTCCAGCAGTCTAAGCCTATAGCAGCAGAACATAGCTCCACAGGGATAGTTCAGAAAACTCAAGCCAACCCAAACTATAGGATTTATCAAAAAGGAAAGTCTTAATCCCAGTCTTAAACTGGACAATGTGTCAGCCTCACGGACAGAAACTGGAAGTTGGTTCCACAAGAGAGGAGCCTGAGAACTGAAAGATCTTCCTCCCATTCTGCTTTTTGGAAACTCTAGGAACCACGAGTAAACCTGCAGTCTGAGAGTGAAGTGCTCTGTTAGTAAAATATGGAACAATAAGATCTGTAATATAAGATGGAGCTAGGTTGTTGAGAGCTTTGTAGGTTAGAAGTAAGATTTTGAATTCTATTCTGGATTTGACAGGGAGCCAATGGAGAGAAGTTAAAACTGGAGAGATATGATCTCTCCCAGTAACTCCAGTTAAGACTCTGGCAGCAGCATTTTGGATCAACTGAAGATGTTTTAAAGAAGTATTTGGACACCCAGATAATAAACCATTGCAATAGTCCAGTCTAGACGTGACAAATGCATGGACCAGTTTTTCTGCATCATTTTTAGATCAGATGTTTCTAATCTTACTGGTTTTGTTCCGGTGGGAGGAAGTGGTCCTGGGCCAATTTTTAATGTGGGGATTAAAAGACATATTCTGACGAAAACTAACACCGAAGTTTTTTACATCCAGCCTGGAGGACAAATAATTGCCATAAAGAGAAAGTGAGAGTCTGAAAACATGCTCAGGTCCAAAAATCACGACCTCTGAATTTAAAAGCAGAAAATTAAGTCATCCAGGTTTTTATGTGTCCAGGACAGACTTGTGATCTAAGTGACTGAAATAATGTTTTAGAACAAGAAAGTCCACTCAGAATCATCAGTGGGTCCTTTGACTCTGGGCTCCCATGGCTCTGAGATCCAGTGACCAGGAGGAAATAAAGTCTCTGTAATAACTCACCTTATAGTCAGAGGGAATATTGACATTTTCATTTTTGTGTCCTGCAGCATGGTGGGAAGAGTTCGGTTCTGTGGACTGCTCCAGAGGCCATCCAGTACCACCGCTTCTCCTCAGCCTGCGACATCTGGAGCTTCGGCATTGTCATGTGGGAGGTCATGTCTTACGGAGAGAGACCCTACTGGGACATGGGCACCCAGGACGTAAGCTCCTTCATGTTCTCATATTTAACACACACATTTTTAGCATCAAGATGTTTCAACTGAAGCTTCATCTTCCTCACACATTAATCAGAACCCAAAGGCTCAGAGTCAGAGCTGACTTTGACCTCTTCATGCAGATCATTTACATATTCCATTTGTGAATGTCAGCAGAATTCTAGTTGTTCTGTTGTCTTTCTCAGCTGCCATTACATTATCAAACCTTCCACCTGACAGGTCAGAGGTGACACTGGTCGAGTGGCGGGGACAATAATCTACCTGGAGTTAAGACATTATATCATGACAGGTGCTCGGCTGTCCTCCTGTGATCTGCCATGCCCTTTACCTCCCACTCTGATTAAATGGAAATGTCAAATGCTGAAAAGCTTTTTATGAATCTTCAGTCGGGTTGAAGCTGAAGGGACTTTGTGTGTGTGTGTGTGTTTGTGTGTGTGTGTGTGTGTGTGCATGTGTGCAGGTTATAAAGGCCATCGAGGACGGCTTCAGACTGCCAGCTCCAGTAAACTGCCCACCCCATCTGCACCAGCTGATGCTGGGCTGCTGGCAGAAGGAGAGGACGGAGAGGCCCACATTCAGTCAGGTCCACTCTGCTCTCAGTCAGAGCATGCGCTTACCAGACGGGATTGGTTCCTCTACTCTGGCCCGCAGGTGTGGACACAGGTTCAGGAGCCTTGGACCGTTTGCTTGTCTGCATGCTAACTAACGTTCCTAACAGGTTCTGTTCCGTCTGCTGCAGGACCCTCAGCTCATTCATTATGCTGGCTGAGCGACCGCTGCCCACTCTCCCATCCTTCAGCTCTGTGGGCGAGTGGCTGGACGCCGTGGACATGGGCCGATACAAGGACAACTTCGCAGCTGCAGGATACTGCTACCTGGAATCTGTGGCCCGGATGACCGTGCAGTCAGTACCTTCCTGACTCACCTTTTATTTGTTAAGAAAAATCACTTAAAAACTGTACAGTGTTCCAGAGAAAATCAGATTTAGTTGAAGAACTATACAGTGTTCCACAGCAAGTCATGATGTAAGAAGCTTTTAAATCCCTCACTGAGCAACATTAACTGGATTATTGTTTAAGGAACAATAATGCTCCAGTGTTCTGTGAGGAGCAATAATGTCAACCTGCCCAACGATGGCATGTTCAGCCGTATGTCAGCTTTCAACCGCTGGGCGTCTAGATGGTGCTCTGAAAACAACATAGGATTTGTAGACCACTGGAGTGCATTTTGAGGGGAAACCCAGTCTTATGTGAAGAGATGGAATCCATCCCACCTTCAGTGGAGCAGCACTTCTCTCTAAAAACTTGGCTGATCCAGTTGGACATCCAGGTTGACAACTAACGGTCCAGTCTAGAAACCATACCATACCATTTTATTTATAGAGCACTTAAAACAGCTACAAGGCCAACCAAAGACAACACGCGAAGCAATATACAAAATTCATTCAACCTTTATTTAAACAGATAAATCACATTGAGCCTCGAAGACTCATTTACAAGTGAGACCTGTTTGGACAGACAAAAACAGTGGTTAACTGGACACGTAGGAGTTGGAGGCGAAAAAAATTCCTATCAGACTTTTTTTTTCTTGCCTGAGAAAAAACCCCTCTAATATTAAAAAAAACACTTCGCACAAACAAGCACATATTTACGTAGACTTTCTGCAATCGGAGACGAGAGCGGTCAACAACGCTTATAGATGCTCTTGAGGTCACTGTAATCAGTCAATGTCCTCCGATGAGATCCATAAACATTCTTGAGGTATGTCGAGGAATGGCCAAGAATAACCCCTGAGTATCCAGAGTCCTGAAATGATGACACAAAGTTTATTCAGCTGGTTTCATCTGGTTGTCAGTTGGAAATTCCTCAGGGAGGGGGTGGTGAGCGTCAGATCACATTTTCTCCAGGTGAATTCAGATAAGATGACCTTCAAGGACACCAAGGCGACCAAAATTTAGATAAACACACAGTTGTTTTGGGGACAGGCAGAACTTAATGACATCTGCCTTGAGTCTGTGTTGGTCCACTCGGTTCCGAAATGTCCAAAACAACATGGCCACACCGATGGAACGTGACCGAGTAAAATCCCCAAGATCTGATCCATTCAGCCCAAAGCATTTGAGTCAGGGTACACGAGGCACGAACCAAGCCATCATAAAGGCAAGCAGCGTGATCTTGTCCAAATTTGCTGCCAACGACTTCCTTGATTGTAGATAAAACCAGCACCAGCTGAATCCAAAATAGCAGAAACCAGTTATCAAAAATCCAATTAAAATATGCGTCCTTAAAATCCACAGATGGCAGCAGAGAAAGACACATCATCAAGTCTTCAAGTCGATGAGATGTCTAGCTGTGTGCGTGCCAACACAGCAAATTGGCTCGCCCAAAGCCTGTCTTCTCTTCAAGAAATGTTGTAAATTGAGTTGAGGAACCAACTGGTCAAAACAGTCCATAATTATGGTTCGGAAGATGCAAGAGAGTCTCACAGCAATTTCACAGACAGACAGAGCAGTAAAGCGGAGAGGGAGGGAGGGAAGCATCCGATCTCGTCGAGAGCAAGTGGTGAATGAAGTAAATCAAAAATAAACATAAAAACGATGCAGATAATAAATATGACGATAAACCAGTGTGGAGTGTAGAGGTTCAAAACACAGATCCTCTGTTGTTGAAAGCTACTGAATAGTAGTGAGCTTTTAAATGGGATTTGAAAACCGAGGTGGAGGGGGCCTGTCTGACAAGCAGAGGTAACTCGTTCCAAAGTCTTGGTCCTGCTACAGAGAAGGCCCTGTCACCTCTGCGCTTAAGACGAGTTCCTGGAACTGTGAGGAGCAACTGGTCCGCTGACCTCAGGGAGCGTGGTGGGACATACGGTTGTAGCAGATCAGAGAGATGGGGGTGGGGGTGGGGGGGACACTGTTCAGTGATTTGTAGACATACATGAGTATTTTGAACTGGATTCGAAGGTGAATCGGTAACCAGTGCAGTGAGGCCAAAACTGGTGTAATGTGCTCTCTTTTGTCTGTACTGGTTAAAAATCGGGTTGCTGCATTCTGGACCAGTTGTTCATTCATTCATTAATTCATTCAACCTTTATTTAAACATATAAATCACATTGAGCCCCGAAGACTCATTTACAAGTGAGACCTGTTTGGACAGACAAAAACAGTGGTTAACTGGACACATGTAGGAGGTGGAGGCGAAAAAAATTCCTATCACACTTTTTTCTTGGTTGAGAAAAAACCCTAATATTGAAAAAACACCTCGCACAAACAAACACATATTTACGTAGACATTCTGCAATAGAGCAGAGCAGGAAGAAGGAAGAGACGAGAGCGGTCAACAACGCTTATAGATGCTCTCGAGGTCACTGTAATCAGTCAATGTCCTCCGGTGAGATCCATAAACATTCTTGAGGTATGTCGAGGAATGGCCAAGAATAACCTCTATAAGAATCCAGAGTCCTGAAATGATGACACAAAGTTTATTCAGCTGGTTCATCTGGTTATCAGTTGGAAATTCCTCAGGGAGGGGGTGGTGAGCGTCAGATCACATTTTCTCCAGGCGACTTTAGATAAGATGACCTTCAAGGACACCAGGGCAACCAAATTTTAGATAAACACACAGTTGTTTTGGGGACAGGCAGAACTTAATGACATCAACCTTCAGTCTTTGTCAGTCTACTCGGTTCTGAAATGTCCAAATTAACATGGCCACACCGATGGAACATGTCTGAGTAAAAAAACCAAGATCTGATCCATTCAGCCCAAAGCGTTTGAGTCCGGGTACTCAGTCAGTCAGAGTCAGAGTCAGAGTTTCTTTATTGTCATTCGCACCTCATGTGGTACATGTGGTGGAGCGAAATTATGTCCACAGGGTCCCAGTTACATCCAACAATAAAATGTATAAGAAAAACAGTAATAACATCTAAGATATGAACTAAGAAAAACATCAACTAAATATACACTAAGCACTCATAACATAAACATTGAACATCAGCACAAACATGAACATGAGTCTGTGTAAGCAGATGTGCACGCATGAACACATCAACATTGAAACAGATCAGCAGCAACATGAAACAGATCAGCAGCAACATGAAACAGATCAGCAGCAACATGAAACAGATCAGCAGCAACATGATATGGTTTTTCACAGTGATTATTCTAGTTAGAGATTCATGAGTCTAACAGCCTCAGGGTAGAAGCTGTTCCTCAGTCTAGTGGTTCTACACTTAATGCTCCTTAACCTCCTTCCTGAGGGGAGTGGGGCAAAAAGTGTGTGTGCTGGGTGAGTGGGGTCCTTCATGATGCAGGTGGCCCTCTTCCTGCATCTGGAGGTGTAGATGTCTGTGATGGTGGGGAGACTGACTCCAACATCTTCTGTGCAGCCTTCACCACTCTCTGCAAAGCTTTTCTTTCTGCAGCTGTGCAGCCTCCATGCCACACGTTGATGCTGGAGCACAGGATGCTCTCCACTGCACACCTGTAGAAGGAGGTGAGGACTGAGCTTCTCAGACCAGCTCGCCTCAGCCGTCTGAGGAAGTAGAGTCTCTGAGTCTCTGGGTACTCAAGACATGAACCAAGCCATCATAAAGGCAAGCAGCGTGATCGGGTCCAAATTTGCTGCTGACGACTTCCTTGATTGTAGATAAATGCCAGGACCAGCTGAATCCAAAAAGCAGGAAGTAGTCGTACTATGGAGGTCTGACTGATACCAAACAGGAGCGAATTGCAGCAATCAAGCCTAGATGTAATGAATGCATGTGTTACTGTCTCCAGGTTCTTTTTGGACAACATGGGCTTCAGTTTAGACAGCCGCCTCAGTTGGAAGAAGCATGATTTAATCATGTTTACATGATTGTTAAGTTACAGGGAAGGGTCCATTATCACACCCAGGTTAGTGACTCTTTGTTTTTCTGACAGGGTTAGAGCGGAGAGGTCGATGCAGTGGTTTGTGATCGTGTCGTTGGGAGGGAACAACATGACTTCAGACTTCTTTTCATTGAAACTTAAGAAGTTTAAAGTCATCCAGTCCCTGATGTCAGCCAGGCAGTCGAGCAGAAGTTGAATAGAGCATGTACCATTGTGTCTTAGGGGGAAGTAAATTTGACATTCGTTGGCGTAGAAGTGAAAGGGTATGTTATGTTTCTGGAAAATAGCACCGAGTGGCAGCAGGTATAGAGAGAATAGGAGGGGACCCAGGATGGACCCCTGCAGAACTAAAATCCTTGATAGAGACACAAAAGGATCTGTCAGTGAGGTAAGATCTGAACCAATTGAGGGCTGATCCTGTGACACCCACCCACTGCTCCAACCTAGAAATGAGGATCTCATGGTTGATGGTGTCAAAGGCGGCTGTGAGGTCCAACAGGACAAGCAGCACAGAATCACCGGTATCTGTGAATCTGAAGATGTCATTAAAGACCTTCAGCAGGGCAGTTTCAGTGCTGTGGAGAGGTTTAAAGCCAGATTGGAAAAGCTCTAAGATGGCGTGATCCTCCAAGAAGCACTTCAACTGGGACTCGACTATTTTCTCCAGTACTTTAGAAACAAATGGGAGTTTGGAGACAGGCCGGAAGTTGGAAACGACTGAAGGTTCAAGGTTGTTTTTTTTTTCAGGAGAGGCTGGACAGCATCATGTTTAAAGGTTTTTGGCACCACGCCAGTGGATAAACTACTGGATAAACTACTAAACCAGTCCAGGAAGCAGAGTTGTAGTCCTCCACCTCTCTGCTGCTTCTCCTCTGTTACCCACCCACACCCCTATTGAAACAGTGTCAACTCGCCCACGGCTCAAATTAAATAAACCTAAAATCAGCTCTAAAAAATATAAACCATAAAAATCTGATTAAAATTAACTCAGTTACTTTACCAGAGCAAAATCATCAAATCATTAAATGTGGATTATTGAACATCAGATCT